AGGACAATATTGTGACAACACTACTTACCACTGACTAGTACACTTTAAGATGGTTAATTGTATGTTATATGAATAAAAATGAATAATTTTTAAACTGACATAAGAAATAGAAAATATGAATAATTACAGATCTAAGTAAGAATTTGAATGTTATTAAAGCATTCCCACAAAAAAATTGCAAGCCAAGTAATTTCAATGAATTCACCCAAACATTTAAGGAAAAAAATACCACTGTTATATGACTCTTCCAGAAAATAGAAAAGAGGAAAATACTTATCAACTCATATAATGAGGCCAGCATAATTTTGATTTCAGTGACTGACAGGATATTACAAGAAAGGAAATTATAGACCAGTCTTTTTCATGAACAAATATTAGTAAATCAAATTCATTGATATACAAAAAGGGCAACCAATGGGGTTTGTTCCAGGAATGAAGGAGGTTTTAACATTTGAAAATCAATCAATGCAGTATACCACATAACAGTAAAAAGAAAAAAATAATAAAGCATTTGATGATAAAATTTAACCTATTCATGACTTTTTGTAAGTCAACAAACTAGGACTAGAAGAGAACTTTTTAAAATGTGATCAAGTGTATCTACCAAAAAACTAAAGAAAACGTCATACTTAATAGTGACATACTGATAGGGACATTCACTGTCACCACTTTCCTGTTTTTTGTACTGGCTAAGCTCTCCACACTGGAGAGCCTAGCCAGTACAAAAAACAGGAAAAAAAAAGAATTAAAAAAAATATTTAAAAGAAGTATAGCATATAAAGATTATAAAGGCAGAGTTTGAATTGTCATTATTTGCAGACAACATAATTGTACACGTTAAAAAATTCAAAAGGCTCTACAAATAAACTATTTAGAATTATTAATATATTATGTTCATAGGTTAGAAACTGAATCTTGCAAAAATTTCAGTTTCTCCCAAATTGATCCATAAATTTCATACATTCTCACTGAAAACCCAAGGTTTTTTTTTTTTTTGGTTTTTGGTGGAAATTGACAAGCTCATGAAATTTACATGGAAATGTAGAGGACCAAGAATAGCCAAACCAGTCATTAAGAACAACAAAACTTGAGGACTTCTACTACTAGATCTCAAGACCTGTTATAAAGCTACATAATTAAAACAGTGCTGCTTACCAAGTGCCCAGATCTCAGTTTCTAAATACTATTCTCCAATAAAAGGAATCAGGGTTCCTTGGAAGACATGGTTAATTCCAGAGCTGGAGCACAGAAAATATAAAATGAGCCAGAAACATCTTTTGGTAACAGTAAATAAAGAAATCCATAGAAAAGGATGGGGACATGTTGAAAGGACACAAGTCAACCTGAAGGAGTAAAGGCCAAGCCTAAATCAGTTTGCGCAGCAAATAATGATGATATTGAATTATAACCCATAGACTAAAACAAATACCCATGAGTCTATGTTGATATAAATAATTGCATAACTAATGAGGGAGGATATTTCTTCCTTATGGAAGAATTCCAGTTAATAAATACACAAGGACTTAGAGAACTACAAAACCACCATTAGGCAGACACTACATTAATCATCACAGGCAAGATGGGCTCTAAAATCAGTGGGTAAAAGCTTCTGGAAAAAATAGGGTATTTACATAGTTTCAACATATTGTCCCCAGGGTATCAATTACCCTGAGGAGAAAAATAATAACTTTATAGTGGAGAAACCCAGCGGATACTACCTTAACCAAGTAATCATAGTTAATACATTAAAATTAAAAGATTGTTAAAGTTAAAAGACTGTCAACATATCAGAGGAGGCTAAGAAAACATAAGTAGATGCAAGGTGGGATCTTGAATTGGATCATAGACCAGGAAAAGGACACAATTGAAAAAACTGGTAAAATTGAAATAAGATTTGTAATTTTATTTAGTGATATATTCAATATTATTAATATCAATATCTCAAGGTTAATTTCTTGATTTTGATAAGCGTACTATGGTTGTATAAAATGTGAACAGTTGGGAAGCTGGTAGAAAGGTATATGTAAACTCTATACTAGGCCGGGTGTGGTGGCTCACACCTGTAATCCTAGCACTCTGGGAGGCTGAGGTGGGGGATCGCTCAAGGTCAGGAGTTTGAAACCAGCCTGAGTGAGACCCTGTCTCTACCAAAAATAGAAGGAAATTAATTGACCAACTAAAAATATATATACAAAAAATTAGCTGGACATGGTAATGCATACCTGTAGTCCCAGCTACTTGGGAGGCTGAGGCAGAAGGATCACTTGAACCCAGGAGTTTGAGGTTGCTGTGAGCTAGGCTGATGCCATGGCACTCACTCTAGCCTGGCAACAAAGTGAGACTCTGTCTCAAAAAAAAAAACAATAACAAAAAAACTCTATACTATTTTGTGCAACTTTTCTGTTAAAGTTATTTCAAAATAAAAGTTTTTAAAATAACATGATATTGACATAAGATGTATTAGTTTCCTAGGGTTGCTTTAACAAATTGCCACAAATTGAGCAACTTAAAACAACAGAAATATAATCTCGTAGTTGTGAAGGCTAAAAGGTCAAAATCAAAATGCTGGCAGGGGAGTGCTTCCTCTGAAGGCTCAAGGAGAGGATCCTGTCTGGCCTCTTCCTAGCTTCCAGTGGTTACCAGCAATCCGTGGCATTCCTTGGCTTGTAGCTGCATCACTTCAGTCTCTGCTTATCTTCACATGGCCATCTTTTCTGTCTGTGTCTCTGCATATCCTCTGCTCTTTTAAGGACACCAGTCAAATTGGATTTAGGGTCTACCTTAATTTAATATGACCTCATCTTAAGTAATTAATAATCTGAAAAAACATACTTTCAAATAAGGTTATATTCTGAGGTTCCAGTTGGACATGAATTTGAGGGGAGATACCATTCAACCTATTCAGTATACAAGGATAGGCAAATAAACCAATAGGACAGAATAGCAACTCTACAAAGACACACATATTAGATACACCTGATTTACAACAGATTTGCCACTGCAGTGCAGTGAGAAAGGGTCTTTTCAATAAACAGTGGTGAGGCAAATGAAAATCTGTACGAGCATAAAAAGAATCTTGATGCCCTACCTCACAGCATATATAAAGACCACTTTCAAATAGATCATAACCTGAATGTAATAAGTGAAATAACAAATTGTTTTCACAACACAGAAGAATATCTTCATAATCTTGGGGTAGGCAAAGATTTCTTTAACTGGAGACAAAATTAACTAACTTCGTTGGAAAAACATTAAGAAATTAGACTTCATCTAAATTTAAAAAATTTTTAAATTGAACCTACCAAGGAGTGACAAAGATGTGAACAGCTAGAACTCTCACAAACTGCTCATAGGAGTACAAATTGGTACAATTGCTATGGACCAGCAGTTCTACTCCTAGGTGTATACTCAACAGAAAAGAGTCTGTATGTCCACTAAAAAACATGTAGAAGAATTTGTATAGTAGCCTTATTCGTAGTAGCCCAAAACAGGAAGTAATCTAAGTATTTTTCAATGGGAGAATGGATAAATAAATTGTATTATATTCATTCAATGGAATACTATATGTAAGTGAAAAAGACAATTACTACAACAACATGGATGAACCCCACAAGGCACTGTAGACTGAAAGAAGCCAAAGACACAAGATCTGTTTACATGAATTTCAAAAACAGGCATAGTTCACCTACAGTAATAGAAATCAGGGTAGTGGTACCTGGAGGGAAAAGATATTGATTGGGAGGGATCATTTTAGAGGCTTCAGGGGTATTGGAACTATGTCTTGACATGGGTAATAATTACACTGGTATATACATTGTTTAAAATTCTGAGCTATATACTTAAGGGTGGTTTTTTTTAATTTTTTTATTTCAGGAAAATATGAGAGTATAAACATTTTGGTTACATTTTGTATCTTTGCCTCTCCCTAGCAAGGGTTAGAGATATGCCCCTCCCCTCCACAATGCTCACCACATCCCTCAGTTGCGAGTCTATCCCCTAACCCCCTAATCCCTGGAGAACACCACCACCATTTGAGCACCATAGTGTTTATCAGTCAGTACCTATTTGATGGCGAGTACATGTGGAGCCCATTCTTCCAATCTTGTGTCATCTCACTTCGGATAATGGTCTCAAGCTCAATCCAGGGAGATATAAGCGGTGCTGATCACTGTCTTTTCTTATGATTGAGTAATATTCCATTGTATATATATATATATACCAAATTTTAATAATCCACTCATGAATTGACAGGCACTTGAGTTGTTTCCACATCCTTGCAATAGTGAATTGTGCTGCCATAAACATTCGAGTGCAGATGTCTTTATTATAGAATGTCTTTTGCTCTTTTGGGCAGATGCCTAATAATGCTATTGCTGGATCAAGGGGTATTTCTATTTTTAGCTCTCTGGGGTATCTCCAAATTCTTTTCCACAGAGGTTGCACTAATTTGCAGTCCTACCAGCAGTGTAAGAGTGTTCCTATCTCTCCACATCCTCGCTGGCATTTGTTGTTTTGGGATTTTTTGTTAGAGGCCAGTCTCACTGGGGTTAGGTGATATCTCATTGTGGTTTTGATTTGCATTTCTCTGATTAGAGATGTTGAGCATTTTTTATATGTTTGCTGGCCATTCTGTCTTCTTTACTTACGGTTTTTGTACTTTGTTGGATATATGTTATACTTTTTTAAATTAAGAAAAAATGTAATAAAGACTATTGAAACAAGTGTACTATCAACAGAAAAAGAATCGAGTCATCTTCATTAAAATATTTGTTGTGTTGAGATTTTACTTTAATGAGATTTCACTAGAACTTACATTTGGGTAGCATTTCATGGTTCACTGGGTACTTTGTCATAACATAAGAGCTATGTCATTTGGATGTATTCTAGGATAAAGATTCTCATTTATATTATTTAAATCCTATAAATTAATACCAAAACCCAGCAGCTTGTTCTTTATTTTCAGAAATCTCAATATTGCCTTGCTCATTTCTGTCTTTTAGGCTAAGACATCAAGCACACAAAGAATTTTATGCCTACAAACAGGTGAGGAATTTAATTCAAATTGACTTTATGTTTTTTCCCCAAAAAGTGAGACTTAGATTTTCACTCATAACTTTAAACCTGCTCTGGATTTACTTGTGTTTATTTTAGCATTTGATCTGCCAATTTGCAGTACAAAATAGATAAACTTTCTATTTTTAAGTAATCTGCCCTTCTTTCGTAAGTATTATTTGAAGCTGTAGAAAGTTCAGATGATATAATAATATAATTTAACAGGAGACAGGAAACTTGAGCCAACATTTTGCTAAAGAGAAATAGTATAGCTTATAATCCTTGATACTTACTGTTAACATAATGGAGTTCAGAGTGAATTTTTTCCCTCCTCCATTAGAAGACAGCAGTTCCTCAGATGTTCAGCTATGTTATAGTGATCTTATGTACTCCCTTTTGTACTTTAAATGTTGCCTCATGTTAACTCACTAAAAGTCTACAAACTTGAATCATAGCTATTAACACACTGATTTGTTCTTTTAGTTAATAAACTTAGCTTTTCTTGAAGGCCAAATAAAAGTAATTTTTTCTTCCATGTGTTAATTAACATTTTACCACTGACATCAAACCGTGAGCCTAGATTTTCCTTGATCTTTTTTTGACCATAAGCATGAAATTTACCTTTAGCTTTTTGGGGAGACCAGCTTCAGCTTATTTGGTTCTTTAACCTTGCTGACACTGCTGTTACAGCACCATGTCACCATTTTAGGATTACATATCTTTCTGTCCATCTTTTGTCCATGTATCTTTGAAATCTGAGCTCATTGGCATGTTCTCTAAATGTACACACTGAAGTGATATAACCCCACACTCTTCCCCGTACATCTCATGTGGGATTCTTAGTCAGAGTTGAATGTTTTAGTTTTCTCAATGAATGAATCTTTCTCTCTCAGTTCTGTCGTAATCTTGACAACCCACAGGATATTTGTAGACTACCTAGAAAGTAGAATTGGGCCGGGCACGGTGGCTCACGCCTGTAATCCTAGCTCTCTGGGAGGCCGAGTCAGGCAGATTGTTCAAGGTCAGGAGTTCGAAACCATCCTGAGCAAGAGCAAGACCCCATCTCTACTATAAATAAAAAGAAATTAATTGGACAACTAATATATATATAGAAAAAAGTAGCCGGGCATAGTGGTGCATGCCTGTAGTCCCACCTACTCGGGAGGCTGAGGCAGGAGGATTGCTTGAGCCCAGGAGTTTGAGGTTGCTGTGAGCTAGGCTGACGCTACAGCACTCACTCTAGCCTGGACAACAAAGTGAGACTCTGTCTCAAAAAAAAAAAAAAAAAGAAAGAAAGTAGAATTGGCCTTGGCAGTCATTTAATAGTCGAAATTGACTGCTAGAACTAGTTAAGTCACAAGAGAGACAGTAAATTTGATCATTAAAGTATACTGAATACACCTGTAATCCTAGCTCTCTGGGAGGCCGAGGCGGGCAAATTGCTCGAGGTCAGGAGTTTGAAACCAGCCTGAGCAAGAGCAAGACCCTGTCTCTACTATAAATAGAAAGAAATTAGTTGGCCAACTAATATATAGAGAAAAAATTAGCCAGGTATGGTGGCGCATGCCTGTAGTCCCAGCTACTAGGGAGGCTGAGGCAGGAGGATCGCTTGAGCCAAGGAGTTTGAGGTTGCTGTGAGCTAGGCTAATGCCATGGCACTCACTCTAGCCTGGGCAACAAAGTGAGACTCTGTCTCAAAAAAAAAAAGTACACTGAATAGGAAATTTAGTACAACATCCCTGTGTAGCTGGATGGTAGCTTCTAGTTGTGATTTCTGAAAATGTGATTTACTCTCAAAACCATTTCTAGTTCAAGAATGTAAGACACCCCAAATTTAGAGATTTTCCCCAAATTTTGTTTTTATTTTGTTTTATTTTGTTTTATTTACTGTTTCTTCACTTTAAGATGAAATATAACTGCTATGTTTATTCTCAGAACAGTCTTAAATAGTAATCTGCCTTCTTAACACTTGGCATTAATTTTAATTGCTGTCTAGTCACCACAGAGTCAGATTAGGGACAAAACCTGTATGAATTTTTAGCCCATTAACATAACTCTGGGTAAAACTAAAGTTTACTGAGGACAGTGATGTATAATAATAAGCAGAACTTCCAAAATTTAGATTGACTTTTTAATCTTTTTTAAATTACTAAGCAGTCAGTCCCATCAGCCAATACTATGTTTTACTGAATCACAAGGCAATCAGTTTCATTTATTTTCCCTCCATGCACTTAGTCCAGAAGGGCATATGTTAACGTCTTTTCCCAAAACTTAATTTACTCTCAAAGAAAGTTTAAAATTCCTTTTCAAGAGAATATTGCATCATTATTCAAGTTAAAAGAATGTTGCTAAAATGACCTGCCTTAAACTATAAAAGAGATTCTCTCCAAGATTGAATAGGGAGGAAATAACCTATTAATATATACACAAAAGAAAAATATTTGTGAGTATAATGAGAAATTTTTTAAATTACAGATTTAAATGGGCATAAGAACATACTTTTTTGTCTTACAGGTTATATTAAAAGAGAAAGTAAAAGAACTGAATTTACATGAGGTAAGTTACTTATAAGTAATTTAATCTTTTCTTGAGCCATTTTCTAGTAGAAATAGTATGCTGTGGTATACTCAAACACCTTTATTTGCAGAAGTTGAAAAAAATTAGGCTCATTTTGATCAGGTTAGTAGAATATTTGAGGGTGACAGCACATAAAAATTAATTGTATGAAGGCTTTACAAGAGTAATATAAGTTAGGCACAATGGCTCATACCTATAATCCCAGTAAATTAGGAGCTTGAGGCAGGAGGATCACTTGAGGCTAAGAGTTCAAGACCAGCCTGGGCAATATAGCATCTCTAAAAAAATTGTTTTTTTAAATTAGCTGAGGCCGAGCACGGTGGCTCACACCTGGCTCACACTGGCAAACTCAGCACTTTGGGAGGCCAACATGGGAGGATCTCTTTTTTTTTTTTTTTATTTTTTTGATTTTTGTATTTCAGCATATTATGGGGGTACAGATTTTAAGGTTTCAATAAATGCCCATTTCCCCCCCTCCCCCCAAAAGTCTGAGTCTCCATTATGACCATCCCCCAGATGGTGCGCATCTCACTCATTATGTATGTATATACCCGCCCCCCTCCCACCTGCCCAATACCCTATTACTGTAGTACCTATGTGTCCACTTAGGTGCTACTCAGTTAATACCAGTTTGCTGGAGAATATATCTGGATGGGAGGATCTCTTGAGGCCAATAGTTTGAGACCAGCCTGAGCAACATAGCAAGATCCTGTCTCAAAAAATAAAAAAAATTAGCTGGGCATGATGGCACATGTCTGTAGTCCCAGCTACTCAGGAGGCTGAGGCAGTAGGATTGCTTGAACCCAGGAGTTTGAGGTTGCAGTGAGCTATGATGATACCACTGTACTCTAGCCCAGGCAACAGAATGAGACCCTGTCTTCAAAATAATTAATTAATTATAATAAAATAAAAATTAGCCAAGCATGGTGGATCACTTGAGCCAAGGAGTTCCATGCTGCAGTGAGCTACGATTGTGCCACCGTACTCCAGCCTGGGTGACAGGGCGAGACTCCATCTCTTAAAAAAAGTATTATAACTCATACTTTTAGTAGGGATGCTGCTGCTTACCATCCATGCTGTATGAATAGGAAATAGATATAAATTAGTTTTTCTACTCAAGATGAGTTTTCATCAGTTTCACCCTTGAAAATGTTTCAAATATTCTCTTCTTTTTTTTTTTTTTTTTGAGACAGAGTCTCTCATTTTGTTGCCCAGGCTAGAGCGAGTGCCATGGCATCAGCCTAGCTCACAGCAACCTCAATCTCCTTGGCTCAAGCAATCCTACTGCTTCAGCCTCCCAAGTAGCTGGGACTACAGGCATGCGCCACCATGCCCAGGTAATTTTTTTCTATATATATTAGTTGGCTAATTAATTTCTTTCTATTTATAGTACAGACGGGATCTCGCTCTTGCTCAGGTTGGTTTCGAACTTCTGAGCTCAAACAATCCACCCGCCTCGGCCTCCCAGAGAGCTAGGATTACAGGCGTGAGCCACCGCACCCGGCCCAAATATTCTCTTCTTACCAATGGCACAAAAAAGGCAGTGATTATTTCATGGGGATGGGAGTTTGGAAGGGTGAGATAGAGGGATGGAATAAGGGTAGGCAGAGATATGAATCCTTGGGATTGTTTAGCTATTAAGTTGCATGGCTGGTTCACAGGTGCTCACTATGTCATTATGCTTTGTAACTTGAGTATGTGTGTCCTGTAATATAAGATACAGTCTGTAAGAATTCTTTTTAATTCTATTCCTTGTGTTGCCTCTGACTACAAATGTTGTCAATTTTTATTTTTATTGCCCTTTTTCTTCCTCCCTTTCTGAGTTTTTAAATTGATGTTTAAAAGCAAAGACTTGGAAGGCTGTACACTGTAGTATCTTGTGTTTTATAGAGCCTAACTCTGGTGAAGTTACCTTGTCAGTCTCTTCAAAGAAACTTAATTTGTGAAGTTCCTTGAATAATAATAATTATATTATTGTTAAACACTTCAAAATCATCTATTGCTCCTTTCTGCATATTATTCATAAAAGTGTTGGTATATTAGTGCTTAATAGCACTTTAGACCTGACCTGTGATTAAACTCAAGCTTCAATTACTATTTGATTTTTAACTTTTCCCAAAAGTTAATTTGACCCACTCCCAAAATTAACATGAAGTAATAGGATTGATCTGTTTTCTCTTTGGAGTCTTTCTGATGACCATCAATACAAAGATTAAATTCTTACCAGGATCATTGGGAACAGAAGTCTTCCCTTTTCATTTGACCCATTAATTTAGAAACTTTATCCTCAATAACTGCATTGTGTTACATCTTTATGTATCAGAGTTAGTATCCCAGCTGCACCCACCAATTCCAGTTTCTCTGAATCTGGCTGTTTGTATATAGGCTTTGATTTGTTTACCAGTGTTCCCAGCTCTGGTTAGGTGAGTTGCTTTCTCCACTGAGTTTCTTTTGTATCTTTGTCAAAAATCAAATGGCCATATTTTTGTGACTCTATTTCTGGATTTTCTATTCTGCTCTCTTGATTTATGTTGCCTATTTTTTTATCAGCTTGTCTATATCTACAAAAAGATGTCTGGGAGTTTGATTTGTATTGCATTAAATCTATAAGTGCATTTGGACAGAGTTGCCCTATATCATGTTGAGTCTTCCAGTCTATGAACACATTATTTCTTTCCATTTATTTTTATTTGAAGTTCTGTTATTAGGTATGTACACATTTAGGATTTTTATATCTTCTTGGTGAATTGACCTTAATTTATCAAAATTCCTCTTCATCCCTGGTAGTTTCCTTTCCTTAGAAATCTTTGTCTGTTATTAATGTAGCCACTCTGGCTTCCTTTTGATTCATGTTTGCATGTTATATGTTTTTCCACCCTTTCATTTTAAATCTACCTATATGTTAATAATTATATTTGAAGTGATTTTTCTTATAGACAGCAATATGGTTAGGTCATGTTTTTTTCTCCACTCTGCCAATATGTCTTTTAATTGGTATGGTTAGAGCATCTGTGTATGTTTGGAATTAGGGCTACAATTTTATTATGTCTTCTGCTTCTCTCTCTCTTTTTCATTCTCTGTTTCCCTTTTCTTGCCTTTTTTTGGGTTATTTGAACATTTTTTAATATTCCATTTTAATTTATCCATTGTGATTTTTACTATATCTCTTTGTATACTTTTTTTAGTGGTTGCTGTAGGAATTACAAAATAAATATTCAGGGTTGGATGTGGTGGCACACACCTGTAATCCTAGCACTTTGGAAGGCTGAGGCAGGAGGATCACTTGAGGCCAGGAATTCAAGACCAGCCTGGGCTGCATAGCAAGACCCAGTCTCTACAAAAAATAAATACATAAATAAATATTTAGAATCAATTTTTCAATTGGAATATAGAAATCCTACCACCATATCGATCCCTTTTCCCTCCCCTCTTTATGTAATAGCTGTCATATTATATGTATATACATTGAAAATTCCATCGCACAATGTTATATGTTTTACTTTTAACCATCAGACATTTTTAAAAGCTCAAGAGGGAACTAGGCATGGTGGCTCATGCCTATAATCCTAGCACTCTGGGAGGCCGATGCAGGCGGATTGTTTGAGCTCAGGAGTTCGACACCAGCCTGAGCAAGAGCGAGACCCCATCTCTACCAAAAATAGTAAGAAGTTAGTTGGACAACTAAAAATATATAGAAAAAATTAGCTGGGCATGGAGGCTGGGTCAGGAGGATCGTTTGAGCCCAGGAGTTTGAGGTTGCTATGAGCTAGGCTGACGCCATGACACAACAGATTTGAGACTGTGTCTCAAAAAGAAAAAAAAGTTCAAGAGGGGAAGAATACTTCGTTATATTAATCCAGATATTTACCATTTCTATTGTTTTTCATTCCCAATAATCCGAGTTTCCTTCTTATGCCATTTCCCTTTTATCTGATGAACGTCCTTTAGCAATTCTTTTAGAGCAGATCTGCTGGCTGGGGATTCTGTTAGTTTACCTTCATCTGAGAATGTCTTTATTAAACCTTCATTCCTGAAAGATATTTTTGTTGTATAGAGAACTCTGGGCTGACAGTTCTTTTCTTTTATCACTTTAAAAATGTGCCACTTCCTTCTGGCCCTCTGTGATTTCTGATGAAAAATCTACAGTCATTTGCATCATTGATCCCTTATCAGTAATGAATCATTTTTCTCTTGCTGCTTTTAAGATTTTTTCTTTTTCTTTAGTTTTCTTCAGCAGTTTGGTTGTGATACGTCTGGGCGTGAATTTCTTTGGATTTATCCTTTTTCCAGTTTGTTCAGCTTCATGAATATATAGGTCTGTCTTTTGCCAAGCATGGGAACTCTTCAGCCATTATTTCTTCAGATTTCTTTTCTGCATTTCATCGTTTCTCTCTCCTCTGGAACTCCAGTGACAGTTCTTGATTCTTTTTTCTTCAGTATTTTTTCCATGCTCTTCAGATTGAGTAATTTCTATTGTTTTGTCTTCTAGTTCACTGATTCTTTCCTCTGTCCCCTCCATTCTGCTGTTGAGCACATCCATTAAGTTTTTCATTGTAAATATTCTACTTTTTAGTTCTAAAATTTTTGTCTAGTTCTTCCTTATATCCTCTCTTTGCTAATAATGTTTGTTTTAACATTTGTTTCAAGAGCATTCATGATTGCTCATTTCAGCATTGTTACAAAACCTTAAAGGAGATCTTTTCTGTTGTATAATTCTACCATCTCTATCTTGTCACTGATGTCTATTGATTGTCTCTTCCAGTGTTGAGTTGTGATTTTCTTGGTTCTTCATATGTCAAGTAATTTTGGATTGAATCCTGAATATTTTTAACATTATGTTATGAGACTCTGTATCTTGTTTAAATCCTGTGGAGGATGTTGATATTTTTGTTTTGGCAGGCAACTGACCTGTTAGGTCACAGGTTCCAACCTGCCTTCTGTGGGCTTTGGTTCCAATGTCATTTCGGCTTTCAAAGCCTTTACAATGCTGTCCAGATCTGTCTCATGTGTGTACCACCCAGCAGTCAGACTGGGACCCAGTTAGCTGAGTTCCTAGTCTTTTGTTTGCTAATTAGAATCAGATGCATACTCAGGTCAGAAGTGATCCCAGTTGTTCATAAACAGCTCCATGGAGTTGCTTTCCCAAGTTCCTCCCTCTTTACTGTCCACCCTGTGCTTTCTGGTTCCCTGCAATGCCCCTTTGAGTTCTCCGTCCAGTACCACCCACTTCTGCAGGTACACCGAATCCGAGGCCAAGGGGAAGGGAGTACAGCGAGAAAAAGGAGCCAATGGGGTTTGTCCCCACCTTCTTCGAGCCATGGTTCCAGCAATCAAAGAGAAAGGTTCTCCTCTTTCAGAGTTATTTTGTCTTCTACATGCTCCCATTGCCAGCTGATATCAGTACTGCTGCTGCCACCACAGGATCGCCTGGAGGGTAGCATGCAAGAGAATGGAGGAAATAAGAGAAACAACTGGAGGATTGACCCCATTCTCTCTGAGCTTTACCAAGTTCCCTTTCTGGCTCCTTGAGCTACAGCTAGAGGACTTCTCCTGGATCCTTCTCTGCACCACAGTGCTCACTTCTGGGTTTTCATCTGCACTGATTCTGGCCAGGGGATACCAGAGGGGGTAAAAGAAAGGAAAACTCGGCCGGGCGCTGTGGCTCACGCCTGTAATCCTAGCTCTTGGGAGGCCGAGGCGGGCGGATTGCTCAAGGTCAGGAGTTCAAAACCAGCCTGAGCAAGAGCGAGACCCCGTCTCTACTATAAATAGAAAGAAATTAATTGGCCAACTGATATATATATAAAAAAAAAAAAAAATTAGCCGGGCATGGTGGCGCATGCCTGTAGTCCCAGCTACTCGGGAGGCTGAGGCAGGAGGATCGCTTGAGCCCAGGAGTTTGAGGTTGCTGTGAGCTAGGCTGACGCCACGGCACTCACTCTAGCCTGGACAACAAAGTGAGACTCTGTCTCAAAAAAAAAAAAAAAAAAAAAAAAAAAAAAAAGAAAGGAAAACTCACCACCAGAGTGGAAATATTTTGAACTCTGATGTTCTTTCCCAATCTACCCCTTGCTAATACTCGTCAAGAGTCTTCAAATAGCCATGTTCTAGGTTCTATATTTGCATGCAGTGGGAAAGAAAGAGTTGCATGTGTTTACTCATCTTACCCAGAATCAGAACCAGTTTTATATTTTAAACAGTATATTATTGTGAATAATCATGTGTGTGGTTGGTTGGTTGGGTTTTGCTGCCACACAGAATTTTAATGCCTAGAATGAAGCATCCATTTGGGACTGTTTCGAAGGCTTTTTTCTTGGACTTATACTAGTGATTAGAACTACCAAATGGGTACCTTTTGAGATAAATGGTACCATATTGATCAAGGATCTTCCAGTAGCAAGTGACAAAGCTAAATCAGAGTGACTTGAGAAGTAAAGAGAATTTATTGACTCACTGAACTGAGAAGTCAAAGGAAGGACTGGCTTCAGACAAGGTTGGATTCAAGAAGTCACAGTGTATCGCCTGTCTCACTCTGCTTCCTGCAGAGAGGTTTTTGTCTTCATCCTTGTGCTGGGGGAGGTGGCCACCAGCAGCTGGAGGGCAGTGTCATTACATGTCATCCATCATGTCTCATGGATGATACAGACCAGCCGTTCTGAGACTATTGCCCACCCCTGCTATACTGTATCTCTTGCTACTCTACTAGTACCTCAAAAGATATCTGAGATAGTAAAACAGCATTTAAACATAAAATAGAGTACTTTTACCGGCTTATCTTCCATACCCATTAGACATATTTTAAATTTTTCTTATCAAATAACTTTTCAGTTCCATTCAGTACTGTTACTTTTCTAGAATGTGATCAAGGGAGGCACTGGTCAATCTCATAAAAGAAGGCAAGGCGTCTATTGGCATGTGAGGGTCCATCTAGAAATTGGGGTATAGTCTAATTCTGATGTCACCAAGAGCAGGCCTGTGACCCTGTTGGTTCTGGCCTTGTGCTCTTTGTCTGTAAAGAAAATATGACCTGACCATAGTTATTTCCCTGCATATGCCTAAGTCTTTTCCTCCTCCTCTATTCCTCTTCTCTCCACCCCCAGAGGTTCCTCCTGTGAGCTTCTGTAATGGAGGCTTCAGAGAGGGAGAAAGGATAACAAGGGGAAGGGTCACCTAGGTTAGGGCTGGGTGCCATCCAGAGAGTCAGGAGAAACAGTCTTATAGCAGCAGTATGCCTGAAAATGGACCGCTTCTGGGTTGATCTGCTCCACTGTCAGAAACAGCAGACTACATGGGTCTCAGCCTCAGTCTCTTCTAACTGTTGAGTATATCGGCATGTCACCTGGGCAGATAAGGCAGCCTCCACTCTGCCATTCCACAGAGAAACCCTCACCCATCAGAACATAAATAGCCTTACAGACCCTGAGCCTGTGTCCACAAATGTAAATATTAATAAAAACAACTGGTACTGGTAGACTGCCTTACTGCATCCTCAGCCCTGTCCCCCAGCCTGAGCTGACGACAGTCCTGTGCGGGCCAGGGCAGATCATGTCTTCATTGTGCAGATGAAGGAACAGTGCTCTGTGGAGTGTTGTGAGGGCAGAGGCCACACAGCCAGTGGGTGTCCAAGCCGAGGAGGCTACCCACTGTCCTGCTCCCCTGCTGTCTTGGCAGGATGCTGAGTCCAACAAGACAAAGTTATCCATCCTCCTCCTCCTGTGGAGATCCAGTTTGCTGTACACACACGACCCGAGAGCTCCCTCAACAAGGATGTTGACAGACCAACATTCTCGGCACTGGCAATGGGGCACCAAGAGCTGCGTGTCCTGCCTAGATCATGTCACATAACCTAAGAAGACTAGAGCACATGTTATAGGTTAAGAAACTGGTGACAGCGAAGGCATGGGCAAGAAATGGTGATGGCCTGAACCAGGATCCCTGAGAATGGACAGAGAAGCCAGCAGGGAGGAATCAGTCCTTAGGCAAGAGATGGAAATGGTACAAGAGCACATCAGTGCAGCAGACCTGGGTCCCCAGTCAGGCCTGGCCACTGCCACCTGAATGGCTTCCAGCAATGTGATTATTGCTCTGAGTTTCTTTTTCCTCATCTGTAAAAATAGGTAAATGTGACAATGCATAATGTCCACGGGCACTGGTAAATGCCCAAGAAGTAGTGTTGGATCCCAGCATCTCTGGTATGAAGAAGGCCTATTTCCAAGCAATGGAGACTAGACATCTATCTGTCAGGGCAGTCCTGGCCCCATCTGCACATTTTCATAAGTTTTAACTTAGTGGATCTTTATTAACTTTTTATATGACAAGGATAGACACAGGACAGTGCCAAAGTAGGAGGGCCCAAGATCCATAAATAGCATGTTTACTGCAGGTTTTGCCATGAAAACTGGAGAAAGGATGGCCAGGGCTGCAGTAGGCAGAGTAGGCAGAGCACCCCAGGAAATGACAGATGACAGTAGACTACACCTGTGTATGTGAGGGTACCCCCAAATCACACTTCTCTGATGCACTGAAGGAAAGGAAGCTGCCTCTTACTTTCTGTCTCTTCCCGTCTGCCTGCCCACCTTTAAGACGTGTGACAGGAAGATATGGGACTCTTCCTGAGAAGACCTCATCCATTTGAGCCTGTTTCTTTCACTTAATGAGTTGTGGGACATTAGAAGTCCCTTCATATGGCTGGGCCATGGGAGCCTGCACTTTACTTGGTGATCTGGGAGAATACTTAGCAGACATTTGGCCTCACTTGTGAATTTGTCTTTCAGCTCTGTGCGGTGTGTCTAGAAGACTTCAAGCCTCGAGATGAGTTGGGGATTTGTCCATGTAAGCATGCCTTCCACAGAAAGTGAGTATTAGTGTGGAATTATTAAATGGGACCTGAGTTTGAGGCACATAGACCAACTTACCTGTGAGTTTTTGGGCAATGCCAGACAAGCTTGATTGCTGCATAACTGGCCTATAATGTAGAAGGCTGACAGCACTCTACGAGTGGGGCGTGCGCGCGCGCGCATGACGTAAGAGGGATTGTGGTGGGACCACCATGGCAGGACTTCAGGCAGAGAGCCAGATGAGCCCAGACCTCTTTAAAGCCCAGGTAAATACACAGCTATTTAGCTGGAACTTTATGATGAGCACTTCCAAGTCCTAAAAATTTGTTTTACTCAAAACCATAGTTATTTTAAATCAAAATAAATAAAAGTCCAGATATAAATGGTAGTATGGGGCCATCTCTTCCCCCTTCCTACAGATCTATTAATATTTCCCCTTCTCTTGCAATTTCATGTTTTCTATTTCTATTAGAAAATTTTATTGTATTTTTCCTACTTCCCACCACCCTCCTCAGCATATTTTGTTCTTCTTTAAGCAGTCGTGGTTGACTGAGGGTATGACATGCTGACTGTGGCTTCTTAGTATCACCTTGTAGAAGACTGGGGGCTCTGGTCCTTCAGAGGGTGATGTGCATTCACCGCCTAGCGATAGAGCTCCTTGGACCATACGCCAGACTTCTACCACTTTGGCTCTGGGCAACAGATGTGTTCACTGTACACAGCAACGGTGGGTGCTATGATCATGGGACTGACATGGCGTCTTGTTCTGCAGGTGCCTTATTAAGTGGCTGGAGGTTCGGAAAGTGTGTCCCCTGTGCAACATGCCAGTTCTGCAGCTGGCCCAGTTGCACAGTAAACAGGACCGTGGACCGCCCCAGGGGCCCCTCCCTGGGGCAGAGAACATTGTATAGTTCACCACAGGGATCAGACTGTTGCTGGACACAACGTCTGCACGGAGCCAGGACGAATACGAGCAGTCTCTGTGTTAGCAGCCCTCTACCTGGGTTACCAGCTGCCACTTCCTTTGCCTCATGAAGAACTCTTGGGCCAGCCAAGCTGGGAACCTAAGTGTCTGGGTCTTGTGACAACCAAAGCACTCTGACTCTACCCCTGCCAAGAGAAGAGCGGATGAGGCTGTGGGTTTGTCTCAAACTTCCTGGGGGTCTCTTACTAACTCCACTACACTGTCTCTCAGACCCTCGTCTCCATGCCAAGCAGGAGGGAAGAGAAACAAAAGAGGTCGAGAAGGGAGCAGAGGGCAGGTCTTAAAGCCACACCCCCACCCTGTGGACGGATGAAGATGAGCTTCTGTGCAGGCCACGCACGCCTTCGCAGCAGCAAACCTTCCCAGCAGCCCCTGATCCAAGTAAAACCAGCACAAGCAGCTGCCAGTGGTGGGTGAGGCAGTGCCAACAAGGCTCACGTTATGTTCTTTTAAAAAGTCCATCCTGGAACCCAAGGGCTTTGGGTACAGCCAAGCAGCAGTGCCCCTCGCCACCCTTTTCCCCTCAAGATCACAGCACCTGCTATCAAATCATCTAAGCCAAAAACATTCGATACGCTTAAAAAGGCCTGGTCAGAAGCCATTTCCTCCTGTCATTACCCCCACTACCCTCGTCACCTGTGAGGCCTGTCAGGAGCCCCACTGTCCCTGCGTGATCAAGGGTACCCCAGGGTGCTGCCCACATCCCCATATGTGCAGTGTAGTTTCAACATCGCTGGTGGTCCGGGCCCACTGCCTCTGGAGGTGCTACTGTGAGCCCCTCCAGCAGCTGGGAAGAGGAGCATCTTTCTGAGGAAGGGCCCGTGCTCCCAGCCCCACCAGATGACAGGGTGCTGGCCCCTTTGCCTCTCCCTTCATCCTTCCCTTTGTTCTCTTCTTCCCTCACCTGCCCTATCACTGTTTCAACTTAAGAGAAAATACTGTTGTTCACCTTTTAAAAGTTTATCCCAAATAAGATCCCCACATAATTCTGAAGCTTGTAATCTACTTGGAATTGTAAATAGTTTCAGGAAGCTCCTGCAGGGCTGTCCACCCATTGGTGTGTGCCTCAGTATTTGGACTTGCGATAACTAATTGAAAGTGTGTTTATAGCAGAGAAATGCATGCTGCTCTTTAGCTCTTTCTGTCCAACTTTTCTAAAAATGACTCAGAGTCCATTAGGATTTGTGAATATTGTATAAATTAGCTATGGAAAGCAGCAGTGGTTCAGACAGAAAATTCTTTTCCACACCCCTGCTCTCCACCTCCCTCCATCGCAGGAATGCCCGTCTCAAGTCCACGCCGATGGCTTTCCTCCAGCCCACGGGTGTGAGTGGGGGAAGTTTTCCCTTGAAGATACTGTTTGCGTGACATGGAGAGGATGGGGGGAGCTTTGCTTCTCTGGCATGTCTCCATAAATTTTTTTTACCATCTTAGGAAAGGGAACCTGTCCTTGGCTCAGGTGGCTGGGGTCAGCTGAGGAGGAAAATTCCCATTAGCCTAGAAAAGTGCTGGGCAGAATCCAGTTTGGAAAATTACAAATCCAGTTGGTCAGAATTGGCCATTTCCTATGTGTGACCTATTTGTGGCATGCCAACTGGACTGCTTCCTAAACAAGGCAAGAAAAGTATGGAATATTTTTATATAGAAGCCTTAGCCTGTCTGGCACTCGTGAAAAGAACTATTTGTACACTCCTACTTTGACCCTCTTTTTTGCGCTATTTGCGGCATGAGAGTTGAATGCTGCAAAACACCCAGTCAACAATGAACTGTCTTCAGTGACCAATGTCAGAGTAGGCTTGCTTCTGGATTAGCCTCATCAATAGCCAACATCCACCATTTTCCATGGAATGGCCCTGAGACAGATGTTACCTATTTGTTATGGGGCTCCAGAAGGAAAGAGAGTTTTTTCCCCTCAAAGGAGGAATTTCCTATGATCTCTACTACTAGTTATTGCTGCTCACAGCTTTTTGTAAGATTCTAGCCTTTCAGTTGCAGCCTTTTTCTGTCCCTGTGTTTCAGTACCAAGGAGACATGCTCACCAAGTCCTTGTTTTGGAAGAGCCGCAAGTAAATTCATCTCACTGTGTTAGAGCTACAGGCAAGTTGAGGTGATTGATGCTTAACAATGGACCAGAGGCACACGGCCTGAGTAGTTCTGGCCATTAGAGGAAAGCACAGGAACACCCTGCAGTCTGCACTGGGCACCACGTAGGGTCTGCTTTGCGCGGATGAGGCGCCACTGACAACTTTCTCCGCACTTGTGAATGTGGAGTGCTTTTCAAAATGCATTCCTTTTGCTAGAATTGGGTGGGAAGCTGGAGCTGTGAGAATATTCCTTCTAAGTCATCACCCCTTTCTAGGCTTGGTGTCATTCTGCAGCAGGCCCAGAATCACTCAGTGGTTTCTGCAAGTTAGCAACACAACCTAAATGGTGTTTGTTTCCCACATCAGGATCCTCCAGTAGGACTTCTGTGCATCTGCACTGGTGTGCCTGCAAAAGGCAGCCCTTTTAATTTACATCTTCCTTTCTGATTAAAATCACAGCTTTTTGTTTGAAGGAAAATCCATCCAGGTTTTTGTTTATTTTTGTTTTTTAAAGAATGATAGATCTCTCTTCATACTCTTGGCTGACTCAAACCCCATGGTGGGGCCACCCTTTCCACATCTATCTCCATGAGTTAGAGACCTTTTGTTAGTGCGCAGGGGACACTGGTCTGCTCTTGGACTACTGGCTGGTGTACCTTGTCGTAATATGTCTTAAGCAACTCAAAGATTGGATGTTACTGGTGTGCTGTGAGTTAGTGAATAATGCACCCCTTACTGGACTCCATGAGTGGCTGAATCATTATCTAGTTGTTGCTAGGGGGACAACTAAATTCAACTGGCTTTAGAAATAAGAACAAAACAAGCCTGACACTAGAAGTTGACATCTGTTGCTTTTCTTTGCCAAATGTGATTTTGTTAAGTCTGTTCCTGACAGATGAGATCCTTGTAGCCGGTGCTTGCCTAGCCAGGAAGCAAAACAAGACAGGAATGGCCAAGTAGGGGCGTGTTGCCCCTGGGAAAGTCTGGGCTGAGGGACCCAGGGGACCTCCCACCATTACCAAATACCCTGTTCTTTTTAAATTTCAGGATATTGAGGGTACAAACATTTTGGTTACATTTTATGTCTTTGCCTCACCCAAGCGAGGATTAGAGGCATGCCATTAGTTGTGAGTCTCCCCCATCCCCAATCCCTGAAGAATATTACTACCATGTGAGCACCATAGCAAATAACCTGTTCTTGATAAGACAAATGAAAATCCTTGTCCCTTTTCACAGGCCCACTTCAAAGCAGGATATCTTCATGACCTGAACCTGCTGTAAAGCTACTTTGAACAACTGTAGAAGTTAGTTTCCTGAGCTTTCTGGGAATTATGAAATGCACATGGGTGGTATCCCCAAAGCTCAAAGCAGAACAAGTGCTTAGAGTGATCTGAATGCCCTCCTTGCCAATCACTAGCCTTGCACCTTTCTGCAAGTGAGCTTCTGAAAGCCTCAGTTCCTTATGTACCATGTAGGGATTGTAAAAACCATGTCCTTCTTGCCACCTTTTGTGAGGATAGCCAGTGTCCAGAGCGTAGTGGGCAGCAGGCCTGAGGTCATGGTATTGGCAACACCACATATCATCATCGAGGACATGGGTTCTTCTGTTGTCACAGTAGAAATGGAACCTCTGCCCAGACTTCTGAGCCACAGGGGCTCTCACTGGGGCTCGGGTTCACCTGGCTCCCTTCCTTTCCTCTTCGTCTTCCTGGGTCACTACAATCTACCTTTGCCCACAGCGAACTCTGATCTGACTGCTCAGTGCTGAGTGTTCCCATCTTAACGTTTTAAATAGGTAGTCCATTCATATGGCTCACAAGTTATAAAGTTAAAAGTCTTGCATGCCTGACCACCACCAAGCCCAGCTTACCCCGTGAGTACCACCATTTGTTCCTTGGGTATCCTTCCAGATGATTTATGCATACACACTTGTGTGTATATATAATTTTTCTCCTTTTTTACTCATGTGATACAAGTATATTCGAGGAACACTTGTCTGGGCTGAGGGATACAGGAGACTTATATCCTTGGACTCTGCCATCCCAGAAATCAGAATATCTGTAAAAGGCAAACCCAGAATTGGGGGATGTTTTTGCAATCACATTCCTTTTGAGTAAGACATTGTTACTTGATTGCAACATACTGGAACTCTAGTTTTCTATATAAATCAAACTGAAATTCCTCCCTTACTGCAAATGCCCAGCTAATCTGAAAGCACAACCAGATCTTTTCGGATCGTCTTTCTGATCTGTGACAGGGTGCTCAAGAGCAGGCTGTGCCACTCCCCCAGCTGTGAGCAGCCTCTGCAGGTGCCTGTACAAGCTGCCGTCCCTCCATCTTGGCCAATTCTAAGTGAGGACCAGAAGTCCAGCAGTGAAGTCTGGCGGCAACACTCCCGATCTCTTAGGTGAGCTCCTGTGCTGCTGCTCCTGTGAGCAGCAGCAACTGAAAGCTTCTATTTGGTGGAGCGGATGCCTCAGCTACTGAGTAAGTGAAAGCAAATCTCATGATTAACTGTAAATACCTCTGTGCCACTTCATGAATTTGCTCCCCTCCCTCCCCATTCTTTACACACACTTTGAAGTTTTAGAGAATTTTCCCCTCACCCTTTTTCCATTTGTCAACAGAAATTATCCTACCAAAATAGTTTTTGTTAACTTTCATCTCCTATGGGGACAAAAATTAAGTTAAATCTGCTTCCTCCAGGCAGCCCTGGGGGTAGGGATATGGACTCCTGCCTTACTCCCAGCAGCTGCCCAGTGCCTCTCGGGGTTCACCCCCTCCCTCCCTGGCATGCCTCCCCTCACGCCCAGATCTTTACCTGGATTAAAACTGTGCCCCAATCTGAAAGTCAAGAAATTTAGTATATAAACCCCACCCATCTGGCACTTGTGGAATCTTTGGCCTTACGTTAGTCTTTCCCAATAGCTGTTAATTTCTCAAGGAGATGAACATGTCTGAATTCATGATGTCTGAATTCTGGTGAAATATGCACTTGATAATCTGGGAAATGCCAGGTCACGGTTCTTTAACACAGGATCCTATGTCACGGATTGTGCTTCCACTTGAATGGGAAAAAATACCACGAGAAAAATAGAAGAGCTTGCTTCCAGTTCAGCTTTAAAGCCCAAATTGTTAAAGATGCAGTTTTATTCCATTTTTTTAGACCAGGCATCAGCACTCTTGGCTTACCAATCCAGTCCTCACTTCTGTAGTTCTATGATCAGGGAGAGCACCCTCCCTGCTCCAGGTACATGCTATACCTAGAGCATGGGCCCCACCAGTGTCAGGGGACTTATTTGTGCTTTGAGGAAGCCCTCAGCTCCTGTGGCAGTCCAAGCCTGGAAGACCTGCGCCTCAGGCCCACTGCACATGTTCCTCTCCATCTACCCTTTCCTCCCAGGCACCTGCCAGAGCAGGTGGGGCAGGTATGGCCAGTGTTAGAAGTCCCTCCTGGTGACAACCAGTCTTCCTAGAGGGTTGCTGGAAAACTGTTGTCTCTGGATCTCTTCACAGATCATTGCCAAGAAGGGGGGCACTTTAGTCTTCTTGGTTATCCTCTGGGGTTTATTCACTAGATATTGTACACTCCCTCAAAAAAAGGTTTATGAAATGCTGAGCCTCAGGTTTCATAGACGTGTTTGTACGCTAAGAATTCTGCAGCAGAATATTTTTAAACATCCGCAGTTTTTTGTAAGCTATATTTTTGTATATTTAAGTGCTATTTTAAAATTTTAATGCATTTTGCTAATCAGTCTTGTTTAAAAAATAAAACATGCATGTAATTGACTTAAACACATGTAAATATAAAGATTTTGAAAATACTTCATGTTTAACGTGTACCTTTGAACTCAGTCACCCACACAACACCACTTAAGCTCTGCAAATGTGGAATACCAGCTCAGGGCAATTTGAAATAGCAGAACTGGACTTGGTCTCTCCATAGACCACACCACCCTGAGGACTTGCCCCAATCTAATGTCCTAGCCATATCCCATGCCTAGAAGTAACTATTCTAGGAGGAGAAAAAAAAATCTCTGGGTCCAAAGTTGTGCTGTAGCTGCTGCCGATCTCCTCCCCACCCCCAACTAGGACCTTGGCAGTTTGGCTTCTATCCCACGGCTTCAGGGAAACTGCACCCATCCAGGCCAGCCTGGACCTTGCAGCCAAATCTGGGCAACCTCTTAATCCAGGTGCCTAGAGAGCTGCTCTCCCATCTCCTGAGCCACAGGCAGGCCCTGGCAGCCCTACTGCAAGCAGTCTTCAGTTTTCTTTGCGGCTGCTTCCTTCACTGCCCATCTCTTCATTGTTTCTCTTACTCTAGAATTCACTAAATCCCCTCACACTTTATCCACCTACATGCATATCATCCTCAGCTCTCTCCTCGCAGCCCAAATATTCAGTGCCTATTTGATATCTCAACATCAGGCAGTCTAACACTGAGCCCAGTGCCCTGGTGACACCTCCCTGCCCCCTCCCGCCGATGTCTAGTCACCACATCCCAACAGCCCTCAGCACTCTCTCCCCACTCTGGTCATTCACACCTCCATCTTCAGGCCACCTTCCTTTCTCACCTGGATCATGGCCACGGTCCCCCCACCCCACCCCCTGAAGCCTCTAGTTGGAGAAGTATGAGGTGGAAACAGAAGGGACAGCTGCTGAGAGAAGACAGGGTGGCAGCAATGGCATCTGGCGACCGAGTTTTGCAGGCACCTCACCAGCTGAAGGTGGAGACACGACAGTAAGCTGAGACAAGGATGTGGACACTTCTACATAGAGTAGGCCTTGGAGATCCACAAGTGGAGAAAGCAGTGTCCAGGTGGAGCTCAGAGGCCAGGGCCAGCTGGGGTGCTCCCTGGAAACCAAGGTGAGTGCTGACGACTGCTTTGGAAATCTAGGACTGAGCCTGAGGACAGGCAATATCTGCCGTCAGAGGCCGAGGTGACAGACACAGAAGGAGCCTGGAAGGCAGGACAGACAAGAGGGGTGTGCCATGTCCGAACTGAGAAAGATGAGGCCCTGAAACATCCCTCAAATTCAGCAGCATAGGATTACTGGTGATGTGTCAAGAACCATCCCATGGAGTGACAGGTGGGCTCAAAGTGAGGAAATGGGGCAACTTATCCAGAGAGGTAAGTGGTAGGTCCAGGGAGGAGGAAGGTAACAGCCAGAGAAGGGGGAGTGGATAGTGTCGTCTTCACTCAAGCTCTGGGGCAAGGCAGACCTGGGTTTGAGTTGCCCTTTCCCAACTGAGTGGACTTGGGCTTCAGTTTCCTTCTCTGTTACACTGTAGGAAGAGCGAGGGCTGAATGAGATGACCCATGTATAGCACTGGTCACACCTGAATGCAGTAGGGACAAGGCAGGCCCAGGCCTCCCCAGGAAGCAAGTTCACAGGAGTCTTCCCAGGGAGGGGGCAGTTGGGGCACAGGTTTTGAGAAGCACCCATGTGGTAGAAGTGGGTGGATGGTGGTCCATCTTTGGTGGCCACCAAACATGCAGCTAGGTACAGAAAAGGGCAGAGGGACACAGGGTTAGGTCCTCTGAGGTGGCTCTGCCAGGAGCCTGCAAGGAACAGCAGGAGCAGGGAATGAGAGTCAACACTGTCCACAGGACACCATCACCCTCCCTGCTGCATCCCTCCTGCTCTGTGCCCATGTGAGGCCCTGGATCATCGGCACCCACACCCAAGATGCGCCAAGGCACGTGCAAAAGAGCGGCAAGGTGGCCACCCCTTGGGAAACAGCAGTGAGTAGACCCCGCCCTCACATTCGAGCTCCCTGTGCTGTAGAGGGTGAGGGCGGGGACAGACAGAGCACCTCTGCTGCCCACCCACTAAAAGAAAGAAACTAAGGCAAAAAGCAGAGCCGTGGGGTTTTCCTTGCAGTTTCCAAGGCTTTGTACAGGCCCTTCCTTGCCTTTCAACAGCAATGCAGGCACCATTTAAGATATAAAAGCTGTACTCTCCCCCAGGAGTGAGATTATTCTGCACAGCAGAAAAGGTTCAACCAAAATGCCATCTGAACCCTGTCACTCTCTCCTCAAGCAGGCTTCTGAGCAGACACCAGTGCCCTGGGGGACCCCTGCCCCACCAGGAGTTCATCAATGGATACTTCAATCCCTCCTCTCTACTCAGCCTGAAAGAAAACCAGATTTTCAGTGCTCCCCTGAAGAGGTATCAATTCTAAAGGCCCTTTTGTATGGTGTTAGTCTCCAGATTGCACTTTTTCTACCAGCTTACCTTCTCTTTCATCAGATAAATAACCTACACACACACACACACACACACACACACACACAACTACCCAAGGAAATTCTTCTCAGATCCTACCTTTCCAGACATTCCCAGGATTTACAGTGTAAGGTGGTGACATGAAACTCCCTTTACAAAAATTGCTTGTCAAGTTTCAGGTACAGAATTAACCTGCCCAATTAAGAACCTTAAAATAAAACATGTTTTTCAATACGTTCACACAAAGGCTTAATGCAAACCAGAGTAATGCACAGATAATCTCCAAGGCCACATTGACAAACCTGTGATTAGATTATAGCACACAGAAGCTTCCTTACATTTAAGCAAGTTCAAACAGGACACAAAACCACAGTCAGCTGAACACAGAACAGCTCGGCCCTGAAATGTCTCCAAGAGTGATGCTGAGATTTCACAAACACACAGCAGGTTTAACAGTGCTATGCTGCAGAGCAGCTTACATACAGCAAATCCCACACTGCCTGGACATGGTCCACTTGTTTTTAATATCTTTCTTTCCTCGTTGCTAGTTTAGACTGAATTTTTAAGGATTTATCTTGATGGCTTGGAAAAATACACTTGTCCTTTCTTGCTTTGATTCGGGTAGTACACAATCATAAAATTGAGTAAGTCTCTTAAGAAACCAAAGTCCACTGATCCCACTGTGAAACGTTCCAGGAACCCCTCCCCAGGTAACAATCAGGGGATCTTCAACAGCTCAAGGAGTGCTCCAACGGCTCCAAAATAACCCTGAAAAAAAAAATACACCAAAAGTAAGAGCAATTTTCCTTAGATTTATTTAAATTACCATAAATATGATTACTAGTATTACAGCCAACACCGCCCTTAACTCCTGACACCCATTTCCTGAGCACCCGAAGCAGGTCTGAGGCTGGCCTGAGGAGCTTCCCATCAGGAAAGGGAGGGTGAACGTACAGGACACCCCTGGCATATCAGACCACTGTGATAGCCAAACCAAACCCGTAGGGGGGACTACAGGAGCTGAGGCCAGCAGTGGCTCAGTTAACTCTGGTAAGAGATGGTACCTGGGCTTTGTCCTGGGGAATGAGAACTTGAGAACCAGCAGAGGCCTGGAACTTTTCCAGATAATTCAGCAATGATGGTGAGATGGGACATGAAGTGCAACAAAGTGAAGCTAAGTGGGGCAGGTCACAGAGGTTGACTCGGCTGGAGTGAGGAGGAGGTAGAATGGATTCAAGACTCACCTACAGGAAGGGATGAGAGCAGTAAAGGAGGTCTGCAATACAGCCCTGAGAATGGGAACATGGGAACAAGAGGTGTGGACAGCAAGGCAGGTGGGTGCCCTATAGGATGTGGAAGGCTGAGGTGCCCAAATGTAGGCAGCTCGAGTCAACATGAAGAGAGAAGCGCAGACCAAAGAGCAAGCCTGAAGCACCACAGAAGCTCCTGAGAGATGACAGAGAAGTAGCAGCTGCCAAGTGGACAAGTACCATATAGTAAGTAGTCCAGGTCAAATGCAACCAGAACCCAAAACCAAAACCAAGGATAAAATACTAAAGAAAGAGACAAAATCCACACTAAAAGAAAGAGAATGCCAGAAGGAATCAGAGAAGAATCCTACAATGAGACAGAATCCATCAAGGTCTCCAGAGCATGAAATCAGGTAATAAACTACTTTTAAAAAGAAATTATTAAAAAGGAATATGGGCCGGGTGCCGTGGCTCACGCCTGTGATCCTAGCACACTGGGAGGCTGAGGCAGGAAGATGGCTCAAGGTCAGGAGTTTGAAACCAGCCTGAGCAAGAGCAATACCCCGTCTCTACTAAAAATACAAAGAAATCAATTGGCCAACTAAAAATACATAGAAAAAATTAGCCAGGCATGGTGGTGCATGTCTGTAGTCCCAGCTACTCGGGAGGCTAAGGCAGGAGGATCGCTTGAGCCCAGGAGTTTGAGACTGCCATGAGCTAGGCTGATGTCACAGCAATCTACCCCAGGAAAGTGACCAAACAAAAGAGAGGCTGAAGCCTGCCTTGCCACTATTTCTCAGTTTAAAGAAAAAAGGCCAGCCATACCATCTGTGTTATGAGGCTGCCAGTAGCTGTGGGACTGGCACAGCTGAGCAAGGCTCAGGAATCCCCATCACAGTGAGAGCATACAAATGCAAAAATTGTTCATTTTACAATAGTTAGCTATACATTTTGGTTTTGTTGGGTTTTTTTCCAGAGACAGGGTCTCTATCACCCAGGCTGGATGGACAGATCATAGCAGTGTTCAAGGTTCACTGCAGCCTTGAACTTCTGAGTTCAAGTGATCCTCCTTACTCAGCCTACCAAGTAACTAGGACTACAAGGCATGCGCTAGCGCTACCATGCCCAGCTAATGCTTTTATTTTTTTGTAGAGACGGAGTCTCACTATGTTGCCTGGGCTTGTCTCAGACTCCTGGCTTCAAGCAATCCTCCCACCTTGGCCTCCCCAAAGTGCTAGGATTACAGGTAAGCCACGACACCTGGCCCATTTTGTTTTATAAGGCTTTCTGTGCCTGTGTTTTATTTTACAATTTAAAAAAAAAAAATAGAGTTCTACTAAAGACCCAGAACCCATTATCAAGAGACAGAAGGCTGTTAAAAGCTAAAACGTGCTAAGATGAAAAGAGAAAGGCTTAAGAATCTATACAAAGCTTTCACAACAAAAGTTAAAATGATTCAATGTGAGGGGAGTAGAGTATTTCAAGACTCAGAGAGGCTAAAATAATCAAAGTTCCATCACTACTATAGTCAGAGACCTAAATGCAAATGGAAAACACAGGGACAAATGGACCACCAGTGCTAACCACAGGGAATAAACAAAGTCAGCAGGCAAGAAGAATGACAAAATATAAAAACAAAATTTCATAAAGAGTTTATAACTAATATGAAGATATAAGTTCTTTTTTAAAAAAAAAGTTACCATAAAAAACTAATCTCCATGTTCTACCAGGAAAAGGTTCAACAAGAGGTAGAAATTTAGCAGGAGAAAAGTTATACTAGGATACAACATTAAATAGGGTTTTCTTATTCCAATATAGAGCACAATAAAGTAGGTCAAAGATTACAACAAACATGAAGTATAAAGAAAGATTATGAGTTATAAGAAAATGAGTGGCAATTTGGTACTGATTTACAAAAGTCATTACAAGGAAAAAATAAGTTAGATGACTTAAACTTTAAGCTTCTTGATATGGGAAATGTATATACTTTAGATTTTAACTACTAACTTAAGCAATTTAAAAGGAAAAACTTAAAGCATCTTTGAAGGAAAAAGTAATCTTTTTTAGCATTTCAAATCCTATTTTCTGTCAATTCATATAAACGATGTTAAACTACATATGCACATACAATTCTGAAAAATGTTCATGATAACACTATCTAAAATTCAATACTTGAAATAGTTCAACTGCCCAGCAACCATAGGGAGGGAAGAGAACCCCTTCCATAGCTCTGGTTCCATTTTTCCCCCAACAGGAAAAACAAAAGGGCAATTTTGGGCAAAAGGGCAAAAGACAGTATGTTGGGTTGAACAATTCAATGACTCTTTTCCATTTTGTCATATCTAGCCTGCCTACATGTTGAGTTCTTATGATAGTATGGTTCTAGTCTGGTATGGTTTTTAACTGATCTATTCATTTTTAGAACGTACATTTTAAATCAATGGCACATGAATTATACTAATACATAAAACTGGCATCAAAAATATGAAAAAACAAGACCCAGAGTAACTGCACTTAGAGTCAATGCAATGGGAGAAATATAAAGGATAGTTCAGAAAAGAAGATGGCCATCAGAAATGTAGGGGAATGTTCATCAAGGGCTTTTTTCTTTAAAATTGCTTAAACTTACAAGTAAATTAACCAAACCCATCTTGCATTGTATCAGGTAAGAAATCACTTTCAAGCATTACAAAGCAAAACCCCACATCATACAATTAATTACAAAAGGGGGGGGGGACACTGTAGCCCATTTCACCTCTACCTCAAGTTTCACTACAGTGTGACCTGACCTACAGCCCTCTGTGTATGTGACATATCACAAGAAACAAGTCAGCTTACCTCATGTTCCGAAAAAAGTGCTTTCAACTGCCCCTTGGACCAATAATCCAAAGCATATGCCAAAAGCCGCATGGCGATCGTATTAATTCTCAAGAAATTTCCAACAAATACCACCTGGTTAATGTTCTGAGCACACCAAAAAAAGGCAATTAGGTTTTCATCTTAATTTCTATTTTCTCACATAAGCTACCCCAAACAGAACACCATGTGCATAGTTTTTAGCAGCACTTTTCTGATCAAGTGTTACTTAAATTTGATCCCCAGACAACTATGGACCCATTGCAAAGCATGCCATAAAATGTCACAGGAGAAGAAAACAGATTAGGAAAAACATCTGTATTATATGAGACAAAAAATAACTACTATTGAATAAAAGTTCTATACACGTAAGTGAAAACAATAGTAAGACCCCAACCCAAAAGAAGGGAAGTGACACAAACGGGCAAATTATACAAAAAGTCTAACAGTAAAAAATTCAACTTCAATTAGTAATCAAAGAAAGCAAAATTTTAGACCTATTAAGCTAGCAAAAATACTAACTGAAATTCGACTCCCAACATTAGTAAAGTTGTAGTAAAACTAATCCACTCATTCATTGCTAAAGATGATCTAAACTGGTACAGTCCTTGTGCAAAGCATCATGGCAATACACATCAAGATTCATAGGCATGGTCAAATTCTTAGGACCAGAAATTTCACTCCTACGTAAGCCCTATATCGAGAATAAAATCCAACCAAGAAATAGCTTCATACTTCAAAATTATTACTGCAGAGTTATTGGCAAGCAACCACATGCCCAGCTCTATGTGAATGATTTATGATATAAAAAAACTTGATCAAATATACAACCAGGAAATGTACAATATTTAAGTACAAAATATAAATTGGTATGTATGCCAATTAAAATATCTTAAAATACATAAGCACAGGAAAGGGAACATGCAATAAAGAAAAAAGTGGTGTATGATATTCAAATGAAGAAATTTTTAATTGGTACTGATACAGTATCTTTTTAATTAAAAATGAGAAATCTTTTTGTGTCTTTTGAGGTTTCCTTTGAATCTGCATGCCTAGATTATCTATTTAAATAATAATTTTAAAATGTATACATAGGGACAAGCCATAAAACTGCATCAACTGGATCCTAGATCCTCTTTCCCCAAGGGCAGCCCATTCTTGGTTCTTTCATAGCCCTGTACAATGCTGCTTGACCTGAATGCTACAAGGCAGCACTGTAAAGAAGCTGAAAGCACAAAGACACAGCTCTGCTGAGGTGGAGGGTGGGCATTCCTCGGCCTGCTCAGTCTTCTCCCAGCTCCAATGACTTCCTCTGGATTCCTTCCCAGGGCCTCTAGAGCTCAATGATGAGGGTGGAGTCTAGATTCAGCATTGTTATCCATCATCACTGCCAAAAGTCCCCATTATCTGGAACACAGGCTACCTTTCTACCTTCCTCCTCAAAAGGTATCATTTTACCTCTAGACAATAACAGTGTTTATCTTCACTAACAACAACAAAAAAAATCAATGAAGATTAATCTGCACTTGAAAAATTTTAACTCTGCACCAAAACAAACTGCACCCCACCACTACATTTAAGCACTGTTCTGAGCAGACAGACATAATAAGATGTCAAGGGGGGGGGCCCGTTTGTAAGTTCAGTATTTTCCTTAGAGCAAATAAAGAAATCCATGCCCCCTTACTTCATTAAGGGCACACATTCTTGCTATTGAGCCAATGTTATTGGTGATGGTGATCAAAGTTGCTCTGGCGAGGTCCTCTTTACTGACAGCCTCTCGCTTCTCCTTGCTCATCATGTTTCCAAAGCTGTGATGGGGGAAAAAAAAAATCCCATTGCTAAACCAAAGGCAACACAGCCCAAAAGAACTTGAATGTTACTTTACTGTAAAGAGATAAAATTGGCTTTTAGGACACTGCTCGAATCTTCAAACTTCTTATTATACAATAATGGAGCATCTGCTCAAAGAGAAATGCAACTCAAAATAGAGCTCTCAAGCATTCTAAATGAGCAGACAGCTTTTCCTGTGGTTTCTAATGAAATCTAGTTTTGATATCAGATACTTGCACATTTAGTTAGTATCTCATCAGATCCACTGGAAGGCACCAATGCTCCTTCTGCAACCAGAGGCAGTTCTAGGAAGACCCATATATGAGCAATTCATCCCAACTACACAACTGTTCCACTCAGATGGACACATTCACATCTGGCAAGCTGCTTTATCAGAGTAAAGCAAAGCAGAGACAGCTGAGTTCCAGAATGAGCAGATTTCCCTAGAAGATAAAGTACTTCACAGTACATGACCAGCAGAATTGCTGTATTAGTAACTGTGATCAGAACAGAAAGCCAACAAATCAGAAAAGTTTAAGTTCCTTGTTTGGTGGGTGGGGAAAAAAAAAAAATCAAAACCAAGAAAGTGATAACCAATGAGAAAGCAAATGCTACAAACACAAAAAATGAAATCTATAGCATTTTACTAAGTGCCTAAAATTAGTAAAGAAGCATGTATATGAGTGCCTTTTCTATTATTAAAAACCATGTTTCCCCAATATACAAAAAGAAAATTCTATCTCTAAATCTCAAAATGAAATTAAGAAAAACAATTTTACTTATAGCATCAAAGAGAATAAAATGCTTAGGAATACATCTAACAAGAGTGTAACACTTATACACTGAAATCTACAAAACACTGTTAAAAGCAGGCAAAGATCTAAATATATGGAAATACATTCCATCTTCTTGGATCAAAAGACTTCGTGTTAATATGGCTATACTCCCCAAATTGGTCAACAGATTCAATGCAATCCCTACCAAAATCCCAGCTGTCTTTTTTGTAGACACTGCCAAGCTGGTCCTAAAATTCATATGGAAACTCAAGGGACCCAGAATAGCCAAAACAATCGTGAAAATGAACAAGTTGGAGGATTCACTTCCTGATTTCAAAACTTAATATATTAAGTTGTAGTAATCAAGGCATTGTGGTACTGGCTTAAGGGCAGACATACATATCAATGGAACAGAATTGAGAGTTCAGAAATAAACCCAAACATCTATGGTCAACTGATTTTTATTTTTTACTTTTATTTATTTTTTTTTTTTTTGAGACAGAGTCTCACTTTGTTGCCCAGGCTAGAGTGAGTGCCGTGGGGTATCCCCAATGCTAGATATAGGCTGAGCTGGTCAACGATTTTTGACAAGGGGCCGAGAGAATTCAATAGGAAAAGAACAGTCTTCCCAACAAATGGTGCTGGGACAACTGGAAATCCACCTGCAAAAGAATGAATCTGGACCTCTACCTCACACCATACACAAAATTAACCAAATGATCACAGACCTTAAGCAATAGCTAAAACATAAAACTTTTTAGAAGAAATAAAAGTAATCTCATGATCTTAGATTAGGCAGTGATTTCTTAGGTACGACACCAAAAGAACAATAAAGATAGGAATTCTCATTTTCTGAGGTTCCCATGTATAAGCGTTAATAATTTGATTACTCTTTTTATAAGAGAAGATAGATATGATGAATTTCATCACAATTAAAAACTTCAGCAGGCAAGGAAAAAAACAAAAAGCTATGCTGCAAAGGACACCATCAAGAAAGTAAAAAGAAAACCAACAGAATGGCAGAAAAGGTTTGCAAATTACATGTCTACATAAATATATATTATATATATGAAAAAAAATACATATATATTTTTTGAGACAGTCTCACTCTGTTGCCCTGGCTAGAGTGCCATGGTGTCAGCCTAGCTCACAGCAACCTCAAACTCCTGTGCTCAAGTGATCCTTCTGCCTCAGTTACCCGAGTAGCTAGGACTACAGGCATGTGTGGGCCACCATGCCCAGCTAATTTTTTCTATATATTTTTAGTTGTCCATCTAATTTTTTCTATTTATTGGCAAGAACGGGTCTCCATCTTACTCAGGCTGGTCTCGAACTCCTGAGCTCAAATGATCCTCCTGCCTCAGCTCCCAAAGAGCTAGGATTACATGTGTGAGCCACCACGCCCGGCCAAGCAAATTACATATCTAAATAAGGGATTCGTACCCAGAACATATAAAGTGCTCTTGCAACTCAATAAAGACAATCTAACAAAAAAATTAGCAAATGACTTAAGTAGACATTTCTCCAAAGAAAACAGACTACCTATCAGAGAAATGCAAATCAAGGCCTGGCATGGTGGCTCACCCCTGTAATCCTAGCATTCTGGGAGGCCAAGGCGGGTAGATCATTCAAGGTCAGGAGTTCGAAACCAGCCTGAGCAGGTAATGAGACCTCGTCTCTGCTATAAATAGAAATTGTGGAAACAACCAAGTGCCACATTCATGAGTGGATATAAAATGTGGTATATGTATCATCGGAATACTACTCAGCTTAAGAAACAACGGTGAATATAGCACCTCTTGTATATTCCTGGATACAGCTGGAACCATTTCTACTAAGTAAAGTATCTCAAGAATGAAAAAAAGCACCACATGCGCTCACAGCAAATTGGTATTAACGGATCAACACCTAAGTGACATAAGAGTAACATTACAGGTGTCGGGAGGTGGAGGGGGGAGGAGGGATAGTATATACAACCACAACGAGTATGATGTAACATTTTGGATGGACATGCTTGAAGCGCTTACTCGAGGGGGAGGAGGCACGGCAATATATGACCTTAACACTTGTTCCCATAATACGATAAATTAAAAAAATAGTAAATAAATAAAAATTAAAAATTAATTGGCCAACTAAAATATATACATATATATACAGAGAAAAAATGACCCGGCATGTGCGCATT